CCCCCCCCCCCCCGGGACCTAATCGGTTTTTAGGTGCTAATCCTGTGAGCATTTCCTGGGTGCTACAGGAAACTACTTTTCATGCAACGCGGCCACTTCGCCTGCTGCTCACCAGGCTGCCTGCTCTGGTGCTGCACGTGTTGAGAATCCGAGTGGTGGAGGTGGTTTTTACCACGAGTCCCCAAGGGGTGAGCGCTCACCTTGGTGAGGGGTACAGGCAGTTATGCAGGCGCGAGGCAGTCCTGGCTGACAGGTCTGAGCCAGAGGCAGGGTTCTATGGGCTTCTGTGCGTCCCTGTCACACACGTGCATGACAGGAAACGCCAAAGGTGCAAGAAAGGAGACGGAAACGGAAGCTCCCGTCTCCTGTCTGCAGCTCTCCCACTTTCCCCAGCTTCCTGGGCAGTTCCAGGTACTGCACCTGGGCCTTCGGGATGGAGGTCGGAGTGGGGAAGGGGCCTGCCGGCCGCGCCCAGAGGTCTAGAGAGCCTAGCGTAGGACACTGAGCTTCCAGACTGCGTCACCCAAAGGTGAGAAGAGCTGTAACTGGCTGCTGTAAAGGTAAATTTCTTTGGATGCAGAAGTGAGGGAGGCCCTGTGGCCTCCTCACCTCGAGGGTCTTTTCCCTGTTCGAACAAGCCAGGCCATTCACCCGAACAGCCCCAAACAAGGTGAGGGCAAATGGTGGTGATGGTGTCAAGCAAACTCACAAGCAGACCAGGTTCCTGGAAGCTCATCGCTTACACATCTAGTCAATGAACACGGGGTGACAGGCGGATTTCCACATTGGGGAGGTTGTCTGGTCACGAGGTCCAATCAGGTAGCGGGACAAGTAACTTACCTGTTTTTGCCACTTTGCTTCCTCTTTTCAATCTCTTAACCTGACATTAATGAAGCTGAAATGTGAGTATCGCTGAGCAGGGACCCTGAAGGCTATTAATCTTTGCCTCAGTTTACAGTTTTCCATGAAAATAGCCATCCTTTTAAAAAATAGTTGTACTTATTTTTATTTCTAACCTTTGATAATAAAATAAGATATACAAGTACAGCTTAAAAAAGTAAGGTGACATCCTTCTAACTACTGCCCAGGTCACGAAACCGAACCGTCGGCGTCCCCGGCAGCCCCTCAAGCGCTGCGTCTCCGTGAGGACCCCTTTCCTCCCCAAGCAGCCACTGTCCCCCAGCAGCGCCTCCTGTGTTTGTTTCATTCTCTTAAGTGCATCTCTGTCCACAGTCGACTCCGCCATTTAAAAACATGTGCCATCTTTTAAGCCCGTTGAAAACACAGCTTCCAAAGCCCTGGGCCGAGGCCGGTGCCTGCGCTCCTCGGAGCCCTGCGGCCCCCTGTCAGGCCCCGCTGTCCCCGCCCCCGGTGTGCCCGCCCGACCCCCAGAGTGCCTTCAGCAGCCGCTTCTTCTCCAGGGTTTCCTTTGCGCGCTTCGTCCTCTCTCGCTTCTTCCTCTCCGCGTCTCGCCTTTGTCTGTGAGCGAGGCTGTTCTCGCCGTTGTAGAAAAGGTCCACCTTTTCCTGTAGGATCCTCCGAGCCAGCTTTCGGTTCTGATCGACGGATCGCGTCTGATGGCACTGCGGAGATAAGTCCACGACGTGAGACCCACAGGGCGGTCGGGACAGGACCCCAGGGCTCAGTGCAGGCCCCCGTCACTGCAGCGGGGGACTCACTGCAGCGGGGGACGGGCCCAGGAGGAAGGCCACTCGGCAGGAATCCCAGCCAGATAGTGACCTTCCTGCCTCGGGCCCCCGGCCCCCACCCCTGTATTCTGTGGCTTTCACGGTGAATGTTTCATAGTTAGGACTGTTGCTTTGTTTAGAAGCAACCCAGCCTTTAAATAACTTAAAATCTCAAAATAATTTCAAAAACATCAACTGATATGTCTGGCTGTGGGCAGGGAGCGAGCACATTGTGAGGACACGTCAGGCTCTGTCTGAAGGAGGGAGCCGGGGTCTTTATCACCAGCCAGCCGAGCGTTTGTGACGCGGTAACTCAGTGTTAGGGCGAGTGCCCTGCAAAGCTATTGATAAAGGGGAACTCTGGGAAGTTGGGGTGATGTACGGCACTGAAGGAGAAATGGGATAAGTCATATCAAACAGATGAAACAAATGATGTCAGTCTTCAGTTTCCCTGTTGCTCACGAACGATGCTTTTTCAGGGGGGAGAGAAAAGTGGTTGAGATTTGAAGTGATGTGCTGGTGGCTTGGAGAGTTGGCCGGGAGGAGGGTTGTTAGGGACGGACTGGGTGAGGCCTGGGGCAGGTTACTGAGCCTCTCTGCCTCCATCCCTCACCTGTTCCACCCAGAAGGAGGGCGGGCCCGAGAGGCTGAGTCAGTGTGGAGTTACTCAGGCCTGTGCCTCTGCTCTACTGTATCTCGGGGCTGGGCTGCCTTCCGGGCCCTGGCGACACTGGGTGGACTGGCATCTCCACCGCGGAGGCTGCGGAAACAGGAGAAGGCTGGTCACCACTTCCTAGAGGTTCAGGACAGGATGTGTCGACAGCTGGGGACACTGATCAGAGCTCCGTGTTTTATAGGGGAAGGAAGACGCCCACAGGCAGCCGTGTGGAGTGTTCTGAGGCTGAAAATGGGTTGTCTCTTGATCTCACTCAGAGGGGTGGGCGTTAGTGACAATGACCACGAGGAGACGGAGGGGCACAGATGATGTGACCACCTGGGTAACCAGCCAGGCCATGGACTGAGGCTGCTTGCAGACGTACAGGCCTGGTCACTGCTCATGGACGTGGCGCCCACACAGAGCTGCAGCCACTGGCAGCCGGGGTTTTACAAGAACTGAGCTGCCCACCAAGTTCAAGAAGGCAGCGGGCGCCTGGCTCCAGATGGCCAGGTTGGAGGCTCTGCCCTGGGGAGGGATGGCTCAGGACAGGATGGGGTAAGATACGCAATGCCCTCAATGCCCTCTGGTGTGACTCAGAACCCGCTCCCCTTCTGTCCCCCCTTCTTCCTCTACCTTGACGACCAGGCCCGAGGGCACGTGCTTCAGCACCACGCAGTTGCTGGTTTTGTTGGTCGCCTGGCCCCCTGGGCCATGTCCTTTCACAAACTGCTCTTCAAGGTCACTCTCGTCCAGGGACAGCAGGGTGGGGTGATCCTTCTTGCCCACCACCTGGACTGGAGGGACTCCCGTTCCTGGGGACAGCAGTGCTGGCCTCTCCGCAAGCCGGCAGGCCCATGGCAGGGCGCATATCCTGGCCAGGGGGGCAGGAAGGCGAAATATACCCGAGGCACCCATGGCTGGGGCCTGCCTGCCAAGGACCTGAATCAGAGAGACAGACTTTCAGGAAGAGGCGCTGGCTCTCAGGCTACACTTAAGGCTCTAGGGCGACCTTTGTAAACCAGGGCTCACGGTGAGCACCCATCTTGTGGGGGGTACTTAGGAAATGAGCGAGGATGGGTGACTTGGCCACACAGCCCTGTCTCCAGCCCGGCATTGGCTGCTGTGTTCTTAGAGGTAAATATTTTTTCATAACAGACCAAAAATATCTTCCAGGCACCCAGAGGTGCTGTTTTCTCAGGAAGGAAAGGTTCTGAGCGTGAAATTTGACGATGAAGTATTAAATAGCACATCAGGCAAGGACTGGGGTGTGAGTCCAGTGACACGATTTAAACGTTGGGAATCTCTGAACTCCACACGTAAAAGACAGGATGCAGTCGTCTGTTTTATAGCTGAGCTTACACAGTCCGACGCGGTAAATACCACTATCAATCAATGTCACCACTGTTGTTTTCAATGTTTCCAGTTTCTTGGGTCTGAATGGAAACATCTGTTCCCTCAGACGCACGGCCAATAACCTGATCCAACTGGTTCACGTTGTCAGAACTACCAGACCAGCCGACTTACTGAGGGGCCTGGTAGGTTCAGAATACCACGCGAGGTGTTCTGTGAGCCAGTCGGGGTGAAAAGGAGCTGGACTCTGTCTTTGCGGTGCTCAGTCTAGCCAGAGAGGGAAGGCAGTGAAAAAGAAAGCGACATTTAACAGTAAGATTTAAATAACTACTCGGGGACGCAGCACGAGGCTGAAAGGTCTCAGCTGACAAGTGAACAGTAAGTACTGAGAACAGCAGCTGTGAGGACACCAGTGCACAGGCCTCAGCTTACTTCGGGGGGCGGGGTAGGGAGGCAGGAGGATCTGAAAGGTGTTACCTCTTCAAGGATCTACATTCCAAGAGGAGGGAGTCACGACCTGGGTTGGTTTCCCACCTGGAGAATGGGTGGATGAGCCCTTCCCACCGTCCCAGACAGGCGACAGCTCCGGGGAAAGGGGGGGGCTTCTGTGGATGCCTCTGAAGGCAGGAGACTGTTTAGCAAAGTCCCTGCCACCCAGTGGAGTATGGGAACTAGGACTGTACCACTTGGTTATGCTGCTCTTTTTAAAAAACTGACTTGAGGGAGACAACATCAGTTTGCTGTTCCACTTACTTACACTCTCACTGGTTGACTCTTGCGTCCTGACCAGACGCTAACCCCCAGCCTTGGTGCATCAGGATGGTGCTCGAACCAACTGAGCAACCCAGCCAGGCAGTTATGCTTGCTGATGGGTGATTATGTAGGCACTAAAAACAGACGCCGCCTCTCAACAACTGCTTCTTACGCAGCTCTAAATAGCTGCTTCTACCATTTGAAACCTTGTAAATTCTAGCACATGGCAACCGCTCTCTAGCATAGGGCTGGAGTCTCCCTAAGCCAGCTTCCTAAGCCGAGTAACCGAACATCCGCCAAATGGTTCCTGAGGTCTGTTCTCAGCTCACTCACCTGTCACCCGCTGTCCGCTTTGACTGTGAACATCTGGGCCCCCTCTCTAGATGAGCAGCAAGGACGCTAACGCAGACATGCTGCTAGGTGTTGCTTCCTTGTAAATAGGTGCATTTTTTGCCATTTTAAGCCTAAGGGTCTCAGTGATGCTGAGATGCTATTGGTCACTTTAAAATTTTTTTAAATATATCTTTATTGATTTCAGAGAGAGGAAGGGAGAGGGAGAGAGAAATATCCATGATGAGGGAGTCATTGATCGGCTGCCTCCTGCACGCCCTCAACTGAGAATCGAGCCTGCAACCGGGCATGTGCCCTGACTGGGAATCGAACCTCGATCTCCTGGATCCTAGGTCGATGCTCAACAGCTGAGCCATGCCCGGCCGGGCCACTTTACATTTTTTAAAAATTGATTTGAGAAAGGGAGAGAGATTTGTTGTTCCACTTATTGGTGCATCATTGGTCGATTCTTGTATGTGCCCTGACTGGGGATCGAACCCACAACCTTGGCGTATTGGGACGGTGCTCTATTAACTGAACTACTTGGCCAGGGCGACACTGGTGACTTTTAGATGAACACCTTCACCTCTATCTCTACTATTTCTATGGAAAATTAATGTGCTTTGCGAGGCTTATGCCAGAGCTGGTTTTCAATCCTACGAATGACATGTAGTCGGACTCTCACCTTCTTTGGGAAAAGCCTGCTCGTTCAGTCATCAGGCCCAGTGGTGATAATTACGTGGTGCGGTAAGGTCGCCACAGCCCGGAGGAGGTTATGTGTGGAAATAGAGTGTGCCCATCCAGATGCTACTTTAACAACTGCCTTTGTTTCTTGTGTGAGCAAGATTTCAGAAGTATCCTCAGGGAAAGAAGATAAATGATAAACTGAGGCACTGTCCCCGAGATGGCTACACAAAGAATCCAGTCCCCTGTAGACGATTCCATGAACGAGACCAAGTCCACGTCCAGACTCTCCCTTCCCTTCCTCATGTCTGCTTCCAACCCACAGGACAGAATTCCTTTGTGTATCAGACAGCGTCTGGCCCCTGGATTAGATTCCTTGTGGAACACGAGCCCAGCGCCTCCCTGGGGGTTTCTCTTCCGTCAGCGAATGCCACCAGGTGGGACAGCGCCGGGATAGAGCCCAGTGACAAAGAGAGGAAGCAAGTCTGGGATGAGGCAAGACCTGCAGACAAAGGGCGGAGAGGAGGGCGCGTTTATCAGTTCCTTGTCACCAGCCGTTGTGTTTCCAATCTCTACCTTTCTGTCCCAGTTCAGAGCTGCCGGGCACGCTGGAAGGTCTCCCACCAACGGGAGTTCAGGAAGGTCCCCAGTGTTTGGTTACTGGCTTCTTTGTGTGACAGCTAATTCCGACAGCCAATCGGATGAGCCTGAATACTGGTATCTTCTGGAGCTCTGGCTCTACTCCAATGAGCTGAAAATGACAAACACACCCAAGGTCCCACTTCCCCAAGGCCCAGAGAAGAATACGGGTTGGGTTTCAGTTTTTGTGATACCTGCAGGGCAGCCCCAAATCTTTGGGGGAACAACAGAAGCAACTGAAATTAGAGCTCATCATGACATTAAAAAAGAAAAAAAATGGTCACCAGAAGTGCCAGTAAGGGGAAACCAGCGGCCGTGACGGCTTCGCTCTGATTCTTTTCTGGGACTGGGGGCTGTGGTTCGGGGCTGGCTCACACCCTTGCTTCCTGCCAGCTCTGTTTCCTTTGACCGCAGCTTCTGCCCTGAGAGCTGATTGCAGTTTAGGTTACAGCCTCTCGTGGACTGAGTCCCTGCCCGCTTGGTTAAGTTAGAGATAACAGTTGTCAGGCCTTTACAGATGGGAATGTTAATTGTTCAGTGATATTTGCATCATCTACTGCGAGACAGGCGTGGGCCTCAGGGAGCGCGAGGAGCCTGTAGCTAAGAGATAAGGTAAGATGTCCAAGAGTGTGACACAGGCCATAGGCCGGAATGGAAGACCTGCCGCAGAGCTGTGGTTCTCACACGTGCCTATGGCCCTAAGTCACCTGGAGGGCCTGGGATGGAGCCTGTAGCCCAGGTACGTACGTGCCGGTAACTGGGAACTGAACCTGTGACCCTTTAGTCTGAGTGCTGATGCTCTAACCACTTAGCCACACTGGCCAGGGCTGAATTTTTAAAATTACGTTTTTATGTGAAGTATCCAAAATCTGGGGTGTATCCACGCTTACAAAACAGTCCGTCTGGAGGAGCCACACGTGCTAGTTGGCTGGGGTACTGGACGGGGAGCTCTAGAGCCCTGCTGCTCAGAGTGGGGTCCACGGAGGAGCAGCAGCAGCAGCAGTCCCTGGAAGCCGGTTATGCAGAATCGGGTCCCACCCAGACCTACCGGCCGGCGGGCCTGCGTTTAAGGAAGATCCTTAGGTGACTCAGTGGTGTTCTCCCCACAGACTCCGACGCAGGAATGTGCACGTTCTCCTGGCAGTCGGGACATGACGCTTTTAAAAGCTGTGGTTTCTTAGGTTATAATATTGAAGAAGCCGAGACCAGAATGCAGGAGGGCTGACTACTGCCTAAGTCTGGATTCCCCTCCCCAATAAGAGAAAATGACAGGTCTCAAGACAAGGGTGGGTGAAGAAACAGACCGACAACAATCTCGCAGCTTTTAAAAAGCCAAAACAGCCCGGCCGGGTGTGGCTCAGCGGTTGAGCATCAATCAGCCCCCAGAGGATCCAAGAGATCGCGGTTCGATTCCCGGTCAGGGCACAGCTGGGGTTGCGGGCTCCATCCCCAGCAGGGGGCGTGCAGGAGGCAGCCGGTCCATGCTTCAGATCAGAGATGTTTCTCCCTCTCACTCTCTCTGAAATCAGTAAAATATGTTAAAAAACAAAAAGGAGTACCTGGAAACCTGGAAATCACCAAAGACACGCCGTTTGGTGAGGTCACAATAGCGGCCCAGGAAAGCGGGAGCCACGGAGGAAGCGAGGACGCCGACAGCCCAGCTGCGCTCCCCGCGGGCTGCAACCGCAAGACCCGGTTCCCAGGGCGCGCGCCCGCTCGGGCTCCCTGCCGGCAGGGGGCGTGCGGGAGGCGGGCCACGGGCGTTTCTCTCCCGCCTCCCCCTCGCTCTACAAACATCAATAAAAACACATTTAAAAATAAACGAAGGGCGGGAGGCACCTTGAAGGTTAACCCGTGTGAACCGCGCGCACGGAACGGAGCTGGGGCGCACGCGG